AATTTTTTTCACTAGACAAAAAACTATATATATATATATATAGTTTTTTGTCTAGTGAAAAAAATTTCCCTGGAACCTAACCCCCCCCATTTACATCAATTTCCCCATAAGAATTAGATTCATTTAACATCGTTTCACTTAAAGTCACATTTTTCAGGAAGATAACTACAACGTTAAGTGAGGAGTTACTGTACTGTATATAGCCATTCTGAATATTGTAATTGTATATATATATACACACATGCACACACAGTATACGTTTTAAACAAATAATTTAATACTATTCACAGCTATGATGATTGTGAAGCTTGGTTGAGGTGGTGAAGTTAGAGGGTGGAAGAGGGTGGGATATTTTTCAGGGAATGCCTTGCTGCTAAATCAGTGGTTTTCAAACTTTCGTACTGGTAACCCCTTTCACATAGCAAGCCTCTGAGTGTGACCCCCCGCCATATAAATTAAAAATACTTTTTTATATATTTAACACCATTATAAATGCTGGAGGCAAAGCAGGGTTTGGGGTGGAGGCTGACAGCTTGCGACCTCCCTATGTAATAACCTCGTGACCCCCTGAGGGGTCCCGACCCTCAGTTTGAGAACCCCTGTGCTAAATGATGAACTAGCACTCGGCTAATCCCTCAAGGGTTAACACGTTGTTAATGTTGTTGTTGTAGCCTCTACAAGGCAGCAGAAATGGAGGGGTGGGGAGATAGCATAGTAGACGGAGACAGACACACACCTTGTGTGTGGGAGAGAGAGAGAAATGCACACTGCCCCTTTAAATAAGCTGACCCATTCTTAAGTGCATCGTCTTTTTAAGTGGATCAAGAAGTTGAGACAGCAGCTGGTGCCCAGGCTTTCTCTGTCTGTGTCCCCACCCTGCTCTATATGGAGAAGAAGGGGTAAGTGGGGTGTAGGAGCAGGGGGGAGGGGGACACCCTGATATTAGCCCCCTGTTTCCCCTCCCCGCACAGCAAGCAGGAGTCTCGGGGAGCAGCTCCAAGGCAGAGGGCAGGAGCAGCACATGGCAGTGGGGGGAGGGACAGCTGCAATTGCTAGCCTGCTGGCAGCTCTTGCACAGGGAACTTAGGAGAGTGGGGAGCTGATAGGGGGGCTGCCGGTCCGCCCTGGTTCCAAGTCCCCACCAGCTAGCTGCAACGGGCTGCTCTTCCTGCAAGCAGTGGACAAAGCAGGCAGCTGCCAAACTACATTAGAAGGGAGCATTGCACAACTTTAAATGAGCACGTTCCCCAATTGATCAGCAATGTAACAACGAAACCATGTTAACCGGGATGACTTTGAGGAGTTACTGTAATTGACTTGGCGGAATTAAATCAGTCCAGTCTAACGTTTGGTGGAATTACTTTAAATTTGTATTCTATAGTTATTACACCATACATGTATTGTATTCAGCACCGGGCTGTTCATAGCTGGGTCTACAAGCATTACTTTTCAGTAGAAAAACTGATAGCTTCAGCATCTCACATATGTAAGAGCTGTGCCTTACTATAACATCCACATGCAGCGAGTCAGTATTTTCCATGATTGGAATGAGTGTGATTTTTTTCACTTTGAGCTGTTTTCCAAGCAATATAAGAAACAAGGTGTTTTTAAAATAAAATTTTGTTCTCGGGCTCCACTTAAATGAAGTCTTTCCAAATAGTGAAATGAGAGTGGAAGATGAAATGATTTTAACTTGAGGGCATAAAATGCAAATTGGCGTTTATACACAGAAATACATGGAACTTCATTTGACATTTAACTGGAAGGCCAAACACTAAGTAGTGGGGCAGTTCTAAAACTGTTTAAAATCTCGGATAAGAAACAGGGGCAAATACGTAACTGTTCAAGTTTTTAAAATCTCATAGTGATGCTGGCCTTTCAGAGAGGCAAGCAAATTTACCCTTCATCAGTTGCTGCAATATGATGCCCCCTAACTCCAGGGAAAAAAAACATGCTCATGGTTTTCTCTCCTGTACTTTCTCCCCACTTCCAGGTACCTTATAAACTTCTTGCTGGATGCAACTTTAGGGATGCTGCTAATCTACACTGGTGTGCGTGCAGTCAGCAGCATTGTGGAATGGCAGCAATGGGAGTCCCTTCGCTTTGGTGAATATGGTAAATATTTCTATTCTTGTAACTAAATGAATTGGAGAGTAGAGCATTGCAGTGGCACTGCACTTACTTTTAAAGATGGTCAGTTAAACATTATTACACAAATGGTTGTGTAATAGTCAATTCTAACACTTGACTTGCATCCTGTGACAGACCCAGACCGGTTGGGTGCAGACCTGGTAGAAGACACTGGATGAATAGTTTTCTGTTTCCTGAGTGACCAAGGCAGGGGCTACCCCAGAGCAGTCAGGAAGGTGCTAAAAGCAATTAAGTCAGGCAGACTCCATAAGACACCTGGAACCAATTAAGAACTGATTAGAAGCAATCAAAGGAAAAAGGTTAATCAGATCACCTGAAGCCCATTTAGAACCAGCTGGGACTAGTTTAAAAGGAAGCCCCTTCAGAGAGGCCAGCTGCTAGGAACTGGGAGTAGGAAGGTGTGTTGTGGGAAGACTGGGAAAAAGAAGGTGCACAATAAAAGACCCGGGAGGACAAGCGTGGTCAGGTACCAAGGAGGGTGCTAGGAGGGGCCATTTGGGGAAGTAGCCCAGGGAAGGGCTGTAGCCCTGTAATATAGAAAAACTACCTGTTTCTGCTGCCAATTAGGATCCCTGGGCTGGAACCCGGAGAAGAGGGCAGGCCTGGGTTCTCCCTATCTCTCCCCCCCCCGCCCCC